CAGTAATTGGAGTTACTGGTCCTTGATCATATACAGTAGAGCTCGAGGACGGTAGAAATTGGAGAAGGTATATTGACCAACTCCATATTCACATTTCCAATTCCATGCTTAGACAACCAACAGTAACTCCTGCACAAACTAGTCAAAGCCACACAAAACAAAATAGCAGTCCTTCCATGTCCAACTCAAGCCTGGGAATATTGGAAGACTTATCTGATGTTGATGCAGGCCCGCAGTGAGCTCGAGTGAGTTAACTCCAGAAGCTCCAGCCGCGGCCTGTGAAAAGTTCCAGGAGTTTCCATCAGGCAGACCTGCGGGGCAAACAAGTCCATCCGACTTGTCCGAAGGAACCACTCACACTGAACTGTGCAGGTCAGGCAGAGCTATGCAAAAGTCTGACTACCTGCGCGTTGGATTGTTCTATCCTAGAGGGGAGGTGTGTTAGATATGGCCCCCCCTGACAGAGGTTTCCACCAAGGTCCTCTGTTCCAGCGGGAACAGAGTTTTAATCCCATTGGTCAAAAGATCTGATAGATCCCTTTAAAAGGAGATGCTGCCCGACCCTTCCTCAGCCAGATGTTTACCTGATTTGCAATAAAGAGCTGTTGTTACTGGAGCCTTTGTGTGCCTTCCTTTACCCGATCTAACAGGAACCTTACATGGAAAGATTACCTTTTTCTTCAAACCAAGGTAGCTTATACTGAACTGTACCAGGCAAGCTAATGGAGAAAAAATTAGGCTCTTCATCGTATGACCACTAAGATCCACTCTCTGGCTGTTTTGACATGAAACGCTGAACTACAAATTATCCCGTCAAATTTTAAGGCAACTGTGCACCATAATTATCCATGAGTAAGCATATCATGCTCTTACAATAAGTATGATCAATGGTGCATTTTTGAATTTCAATAAAATTATTCAAGTTTTCTAATTTAAAGTGTTTGCCACAAATCTGAACGTCACTGATTCTAATCATACCTGAATCATAAAATCTTTAAAAATTACTCTGTAGTGGGTGTAGAATATGTATACCACAGGATGGTATACTTTTATTGTTTCATTTTGTTTTAATTATGAGTCACCAGTCATATAGATGAGATGGGCGGCCTATTAATTGTTTAATTAATTAAATAAGCTTGCAAACCATAAAACATCATTTTGTTATTCTTGGTTTTTTTCTAGCAATGACAAGTGCTATTCTTCTTCTCTTTCAGTTGCTTCATTTATTTCAGTGACACATCCCAACTGCAACATTTTTCCTGATCTGTGTGAAGCACAAGGTACATAAACATGAATGACAGGGCTTTCTACATTTTAAGTAATAATGAGGGTTAACTAGTGTGGTTGCTGACAAGCCTATGTAACAGCAGTTACTGAGCATGTTAAACTTCCAGTTGTTTCTCTATGGAGGTGTCCTTTTAATGTATACACACGATCAATTGGTCTTTGATCAACGTTCAGTATAACCTTGTATCTCTTGCTCTTGACTCATCTGATGCAAGAAAGCAGTAACTAACCTGACAGTTTTGTGATAGGGAGAATTGCTCCTCTCCAGTTAGTGGTGTTTATTGGGTGAGTTTACCACCATAAAACACAGGGACGCAGTGGCTCTGTAGCTAAGATGCTGAGCTTGTTGATCAGAAAGGTCAGCAGTTTGGCAGTTTGAATCCCTAGTGCCGTGTAACGGAGTGAGCTCCCGTTACTTGTCCCAGCTTCTACCAACTTAGCAGTTTGGAAAGCATGTAAAAATGCAAGTAGAAAAATAGGGACCAACTTGGTGGAAAGTTAGCAGTGTTCTGTGCACCTTCGGTGTTTAGTTATGGCGGCCATATGACCATGGAGACATCTTCGGACAGTACTGGCTCTTCGGCCTTGAAACAGAGATGAGCACTGTCCCCTAGATTCAGGAACGACTAGCACATGTGTGAGGGGAACCTTTACCTTTACCACCGTAAAAGACCAGGCTGTTTCTCTGCAAAAGATAAGAGCCTCAGTGCATGGTAACTTTTGCCAATTTAATGTCTGCAGCACAATGTTCAGTCAGCATAGCCTGCCAAAGTGCATGGCACACTTTTTAGCATAATAAGAGTTTGTCTCTGATGCCACTGATTCACATAGGTGTTGGGGGTATTAACAAAAAAAAATGGCTCTTTTAGGATAAGATGTCATTTCTGTCATCCTTAGCTAGGTATAGACCTCCCATTGTCAGCCAACAGAATTTAAATCAGCAAAACTAAAAAGGATGACCAAGCTATGATACAATGATTGGGTTGGTCCATTTAATTAATTTAGGGTTTGCTTAACTATGACTTACAAAATAAAATGATTAGATGGTTGATATGTTGCACTAAGTCAAACTTGATTTCTATGGATCATGTGATTTCGATTCACACACCCATGCTAGAAACAAATCACATTATGCTGGATAACTATTACATGGCAGTAAGGAAGCACAAAAAAAATCATTTGCTACAAGCAAGTACCAATAATTTACCATTCTAAATTATTATAGTGCAGATCTAGTAACCCTAGCAGTTAGATCTCATACTTTAGCCAAGGTGGCGCAGTGGTTAAAAGCAGCACTGCAGGCTACTGCTAGATCAGCAGGTCAGCGGTTCAAATCTCACCGGCTCAGGGTTGACTCAGCCTTCCATCCTTCCGAGGTGGGTA